GTCTGAAACAAACATCCTCTGTGTTAAAGTTGCAAATTGATGAAAGCAGAATTTGCATTTCTTACTGTTACTTTTTTATTTCTCACTAAAAGGGACGGTGAGTAAAAACTAATAAATTCACCCCATAACATTTAAATGTTCAGCTTTAGCATGTCACACCTTTCAGTACCACCCCCACGTTACACTGTACTGCAGAACTGGTAGTCTCCAACATGCAGAATCAAAATACAAAGTGCGAAATCAACCATCACTCTATTAAACAGCAAGAAGATTGAAATGCTACACAGGATCAAGGAAAGTACATTCAATATTTAGCTTTACAATTGCACAGGACCCCAGAAAAATGAAGTTTACCTGCATAAACACTCCACCACACGTGTGTTATACTTGAAATGTGCGTTTGTTTGTTTTTTAATCACTCAAAGGGCATGCAGGTTAGGTTTAGCTGCAAAAGCTGCCTGGCTTATAAAATGTACAAACTTCTAATACAGCCAACAAATATGAATGGAGAGTTGGAACAAACTGGAAACCTAGTAGCAAATATTTCTGTCATTCGTAAATGCAGATACTGAATGTACAGGATTTGATGGTTAAGAATTTAATGCCAGTTTCTTCTACAAATTTTTTTTCACCTTCTTGAGGGAGGAAAGGAAGCTGTCACACTCCTGGAACACAGTGACTTATGATGCATTTAACTAACAGCTTAACTCCGGACGAAAATATATATTTCATTCAATATTCAGAAAGTAAATCATCCTCAAACAATAACTGTAATGAAATCACCTGGTCGTCCTGCAGAAATAAGTATTAGCATGAAGTATGTTTTTACAGTTCTGAACACAAACTAGTACAATGTGATCTCAAATCAAAAGACCAAACATTCTTTTGAATCACCAAAACATCTTAGGCTACGTTCACACTGCAGGCGAAAATGCGTCAAATCCGACTTTTCTGACCCTGTGCGACCCATACCCGATCACAGAAACTGAGGTTTTGGACTTGATTAGCATATGGGGAGACAATTCAAACAAGCTAAACGACTCCGTGGTCATATATACCTCTGCATGGAGGTAGCAGCCACTGGTCCAAACGAGGCCATTGTTAAAGCACCGGCTCTCTTTTTTTCTCAGTGTCGTTCTTTTCCTAATTAATTTTTCAAAATTATGTCGGTTATGACTGTGCAGAAATTGATAGACTGCTGAAACAACACCTACCAGCTCTGTAGCAGCCATTTTTACTTCTATAAGCAGAGCG